GCTCACTGCATGTCACCACTCCGAGAACAGCAAGGAGTCTACTGGCTCACTTCTGGCTGCCTGGGGAAACACCATGTCACACTGCTTGATAACCCAAATGTTATTTTAAAACCTGTATAGTCTCTGAATCCGGTGACCCAGCCCTCAGCGGCCTCTGGGGAAACCTCTGTGTGACTATTTACAAATGACTGACCACATGTATTCCAGTGAGCAAGATCCGACCAACGTCCCTCGGAAGGCTCCAGACCTAGAACTCGTCACAGATGGAAAATCAAGAGGCTGAGCTATGCAGTGGTGACACTTCCTCACATTCTAGAAGCATAAACACAGCCGCAAGGGTCATCAGCCCAAAAGAGTAAGCTCACCTTGGAAGAGCAAAACGTGCAAATAATTACACTAATTCTAAATAGGACTTTTCTGCACTGCTCACTTCAGAAAGGAAAGAAATAAAACAAACTTGAGAGATCTAGAAGTTACTAGACAGCACCAGAACCAAGTGCAGTTACGTGCTGTCCTGGACCCTCACCTGAGGAAACAGCAGAGCTGACCAAAGGCAGCAAAGGCAGCTGCAAGAACTATGAACCCTTCAGTGGTGGTACTTATTCCACATACAGATCTCAGTCCACAGCAGATGGCTCCCTGAGGGCCCTCACTCGATCCCGGGAATGGAGTTTTGACCCTACAAATGTAAACCCAGACCCCTGGCTAGTAAATGATCAAGGAGTAATTTCAGGTGCCTGAGCATCTGACAGAAAGTGAAGCTCATACATCAAAGCACCCACTTTGTATAAGATGCAGCACTCCAATGGATTCAGAAATATATAAATTGGTCTAAACACGTAGAGAACCAGAAACAATTATTCAAAAGTGCATAGTTATGTTAAGATCAACGCAAAGGCAGAGCTACCCCTCCTCAGCTAGAAGTGCAAACTAGGGAGAGGGTCTGGGGGGGAACTGGCAGACTACTGCAACACCAAGGGCAAAAGGAAACCCCAGGTTTTTGTTAGTGATGGAGGAGACTTTCACCGAGCAAACGCAGGCTTATTCCTGTCACTCAGAAAAGGCATCCGAAGTGGTTAAAATTTTGTAAAGAAAAAATAATCCCCAGATTTGGATTGCTTCTCTCAATTCTGAGTGACAAGGTCAGAGCATTCCTAGCTGGTCCCATGCAAGAAGGACCCCAACAAGGAGGAGTCAACTGGAATCTGCATGCCTCTAGGCAACCCCACCCAACAGCAAGACTGGGAAAAATAAACCACAACTAGAAAAACATAATAGTTACAGACCAAGAAACCACCCTGACTTAAGGTTCTGCAGGCTGCACTGCTCAGAATCCGGGTAGGCCTGCTACGCTGGTAGAAATGAGCCTATGTGCGAGAGAGGGGCCTACAGAGAACACAGCTCGGCAGAAGCCCAGCAGCACACCTTGGGAGTAGCCCAGTATCTTACACTACAAAGTCCTGTCCAGACTTCATAACTGGGCAGGTGGGCCAACCTGTCAAAGAGGGCTCCCCAGGAGAATCCTCCTGGCTCAGCCCCTAACCTCTCCCTGAGCCTGACCACCTCGGGAGATGAAACCCTCCCAGCCTTCCCCGAGGAAAGCACCAAGGGAAGCTCCTCTGCCTGGCTGGGTGGGCCACCCAGCCTGACAGCACTCAGGACTGAGACTTTGGTGGGAGTGTTACCTAGTTCACACTCAGCAGACCCTCTGTCCTGGAGGGGAAGGAGAAAGAACCCCACTGCGTTATCACTCTCTCCATCAAACCACATCACCTTGCTCTCCCTGTTTCAACTGGGCACTCGCTCTCTCAGGTTCCGTCTGCAGAGGTGCCCATTCGTTCTAACGGATGCTCTAGCTTTCTGAACTTTGCTACCTCACTTACCACTGCCCCCAATCTCACGCCTGAATTCTTTCTTGCATGAGTAAAAGAACTTATCTCACGTATGTCTGCTAACAGGCCCTCAAAGCACAGTTCAACCAAACCCACACAAGTCACACTGCTGGAGACTCTCTCTGCTCCCAGGGCCCTGGTGAACAATCTCATTTACAATGGAAAGAGTTGGGCCCTATTAGGTATGTGTAGTCCCTGAGACTGGTTCTCCACGCTACTCATTCATTTGCTTCTAACTGTACTTTACAAACATGTCCCCGCAGTGCTTAAACTCAGAGGCTGGCTCCTCCTTAAGAATTGGAAAGAGATCAGCTTCAACCTCACTGGGTAGTCAAACTGGAAATTTTCAGTTTTGAGTCCATGAGAAGAAAACAATGGTATTTTTCTATACCAAAGCATGGCTCACTGGGTAGTCTTTACAAGGTGCCACTTGTAAAGAAGCGAACATGTTAGTTACATTTACATTAACATCTGTTAAATGAGTTCACTGGCACGGGTCAAATTATGGATCCAACACACCCGCATAACCCCAATAAGTCCCAGCCAGCCTGACCAGGAGGAGGAAAGTACCACCCAGCAACCACTACTGCAAGGCAAAGCTGCACAGAGACCGGCCAAGCCTACTGTGATGCAGGGCAGTGCGGCAGCTGAACTGGGCCTAGCAAATGACACCTCAAAAATCACCTACAGCTTTGTTCCTTTAACCGTGAGCACCCCACAGGATCCCATCAAGCAGTCAGATCAGTCTCATCCGATCCCCTCAGGACTAAGGAAGAACAAAACACGAGGGAACTGAGACAAACCTTCCCATAATACAAAAACAAGATCCGGGCGCTTGTCTGTCTCCTTTAGCCCAAAGTGTCCTCACCTGCCCTTTATCGAAAGGTATTCAAGGAATTGAAGGAGAGGTAACTGGCCCTCTAAGATTCTAATCGCTAGACTCAAGAAGTCATTTGCTTCTCCAATAGATAAGAATCTTGATGGCTACTAATGGCCTGGGGTGGTTTGTGTGGAGAAAATTCCAGTTCCATGCAGAATGTAATCACCCCCTGTATATAACCTCTAAACTAACTGGAGCCAGCTGCTCAGAGTAGAAATTCCCTGAAGAGCAAGCACGTCACTGCATCATCAAAGTGAGATCCTAAGTGCCACTGACCAACCTGGAACTTGGTTGATTACACACGCACCTTCCAATCCCAACTTAAACCTATAAGATCCTTCACCCCTGGCCTGCACTACAGCTGAGGCTGAAAGGAGCAGACTGACACATACCTTCCAGGTGCTAGGCTGAGTCCTTCACAGGGACGACTGAGTCCACAACCTCCTGACCAGTCCCACCTAGCAGAGGAAGAAGACTGAAGCTCAAGGTTATCAACAAGGCGAGCCACAGGTGGGCTGCGCACCTGCCGGCCGACAAGCTTCCACCTGCCAGGCTCTTTCTAGACACACTCTGGGCTCACCTGAGGATTCCTGGCTCAGGCCCTTCCTCTGCTGCTCCTCCCTCTGACCTCTGCGCTGGTCTTCACACACCCTCTAGCTCCTTCCTGCCCAAGACCCACGTGGCTCTCACCCTAACCAACCCTGTCCCACTCCAAGTATGTAAATTTCAGCCCTTCTCTGACCACACCACAGACCCTGCTGTTTTTCTTCCAGGCAGTGATCACCACATGATACATATACATTCAGCTGTTTGCATCCCCCCACTGGAATGCAACAGTGTATCCCTGATACAATATAGTGCCTGACACATAGTAGGCCTGCATAAGTAAGGAACTATTCATTTGAGCACCAACAGGGAGCCAGGCAATACTGAAACAAACAAGTCTGAAGGGCAGCTCCTTTCCTCATGGGACTTACAAACAGGAGAAGATCACAAAAACTATTCTGTCACAACCTAAGCATCAACATATGGGGACCAGTGTTGTGGTAAAGTAAGTTAAGCTCTAATGCCAGCATTGCACATGGACCCCAACATCCAGGCAGGAGACTTAGAAGAAGCTCCTGTCTCCTGGCTTCAGACTCAGTTCCTACCATTTGAGGCCATCTGAGGAGTGAACCAGCAGATGAAGATCTCTCTCTCTCTCTCATTTCCGTCTAACTTTGCCTTTCAAATAAATACATAAATTATATATATTTAAAAAATCACCGTGTGACTGCAGGGATTCTCCAGCTAGTCAAGAATCGGAGACTTGAGAGACGGACACTAACCCTGAGGCCTGTGTATGTGAGGCCTGCAGGACAGTAGGGTTTGGGCAAACTTTGAAGGTGTTGGTGGTGGCAGAAGAGGCAGGGAACAAGCCTGGGACCTGCAGGAAGGTCTAAGGGAAAAAGGGAAACCCAAGGTAGCCCAGGGGAGGGCAAGAGTTGTCCAGGAGGCTGGACATACCCAGAAAGGCCTGGAAGGTGGAGTTCAGATGAGTCCTAAGGCTCACCAACTGATAAGTGGATAAAGAAAGCCAGGTACATTAATACTATGGCATATTATTCTGCAATGAAAAAAAAAAAGATGGGCCAACCTTGACAGCACTATGCTAAGTGGGCTGCATAACCAGGACACCCCCTTACATGCGCTGTCCACAGAGGGCAAACCTATGGACAGACACACATGATGGGCGAGACCCCCTACTCCCCTCGCCCCCCGGGCAAAGCGAGACTGAGACAGGTGGCAGCCAAACAGGGTGAGAAGACACGGACCGGGAAATAGAGGTCGCTGCTGAAGCAGGGGAACTGTGTGTGGTAAACGGTAACTGCACCGCACTGTTAGGGCTTAACCCCAGGCGGCAGGAGGCCTCAGCCACCGGGTGACACGCTGCAGAAGGAGCGGCGGCGGGGGAAGCAGGGGGACAAGAGGCTGCCCCGACGCCGCGAGCCGGACCACGAGCATCTCCTGGAGACCACCCCCCTTTGCACGGGACCCGCACGCCTGCTCCCTCCCGCGTGGGCCTTCGTGCTCCTCAGAGGCCTCCTGAGGTACCGCACGGCCAAGGCCGGCCCCAGAGGCACCCCCAGCCCTGAGGGAGAGGGAGGCGGCCCGAGGACAGCCACCGCCCCTCAACCCCAGGCCGCTACCCGCGTCCCCACCCTCGGCCTGGCACCGCTGCGCCTCACCCGCCTCCACTACGGACGCCACAGCCCCGGGACGCCGCGGCCACGGCGGCGACCACTGCGCCTGCGCCCCGCGGGCCAAGGCGAGTCCGCAGCGCCCTCTGCCGGCCGCGCGCGGGACTCAGGGTCCTACTGGGTGCTGCCCACTCTCCCTCCTGATCCGACCCCACCCGATTGACCGAAAAAAATGAAAGCTATTCCGGCTAAGAGCCAGCCTGCTCCACCTTCTGCTCCCGCTCTGTCTTCCGCCTGTTGCTGACCCGTATGTAAGCCCCGAAGGCAAGCTCTCCCCCATATTCCTGATTATGAATTGTGATACAAAAAAAAATTTTTTTTAACAGAGGCTGGAGGGTGGGGTTTGTTCCTGATTCATGACAAAGCTCGCTGGAAGACTTGTCTAAAATCTCTCCTCTGAATGACAGGAATTACGTTTGGATGAGAACCTGCGTTTTGAGCCCTTTTGCATCAAATTGCAGTCCCATAACACCTGTCCAAAGAATAAATATGACAGGAATAGGCACGCTTCCTTTCAGACCCATCTATAATTATAATTGAGGAGAAGAATCCAGAATTTAAAATCAGAAGCCACTGCCAGAATCATTCTTTGGAAATGAAATAATGCTTTTATATTAAGTAGGCTCTCCCTACTCTGATGTTGAAAGGCAAAGTGCCTCTCTGAATTGATGTAAATACAAGTTTTATAGCCTGAAAGAAATCCAGATGAGTTTTGATCCTGTTGAGCGACGCTGCTGCTCACCTCCTCCTCGGCTGACGTGTGAAAGGGAGTGAGTTTGTTCACGGGTGATGGTGCTTCTGCTCACGGCTCTCTGGGGCTTTTTAAACCCATGTGAAACGAAAGGCTGCTTTCCTTACGTGAATCCATGTGCATTTGATGGAACAGAACAACTCATAATGTAATACCTTCTTCTCACATCATCCTTTTCTTTTCTCTCTCTCTCATTTTTTTCTAAAGGAGAGCACTGCTCCCGGGGGCACCTGGGGATGTCTTTTCTGTAACAGGAGACTCTTAGGAGCCGGGAAGCAGGGGCTGTTCCTTAGCGCAGCTCCTCTCAGGCTTTGTCCTTTTTGCTTGTTGTTGCTGTTCTGCATAGCCTTTAGAATTTTTTTTCTCCCTCCCCCCACCTCCATTTAACATACTAGATTTTGTCCAGATCTCATGGGAGAGAGGAGGGCATTCCTCCCCTGAAATAGACCCCATTTATTTTTCAGTCTGTAGACTTGGAGCCAGTATATCTGAGAGGTACAACGGTACCCTCCTCCATCAACCCTCTTATTTACACACGCATGATCAGGGGCACATCCTTAGTGTAGGCCTCGTGAATACGTCCTAGAGCTTTAAAAACTCTGGGGGACATTCTGCAGGGACACTGTCCACCCCTCTGCTCAGCCTTAGGAGCGTGGAATATGTTGGAGAAACTCAGTCTGTTCTCTAGCTCCAGCTCCCTTTTGTTCCTACATGGCCTGATACCTGGATCTCATAAAATATTCAGGAGGCAAGCTGTTCCTTTTCCCTCCACCTTTAGAATCTCTTATGCCTCTTCTGTCTTTGCAAACACAAGAGATTCTGCCTTTCCCAAAAATTCCTTATGAACATCTGGGGAGCCAAGGAGGGATGAGAGCAACCCCAAGTGAGAGAGCTGAGCAACAATCTCCAGGGTTTTTGTTTGAGTGTGTATGTGTTTGTTTTCTTTGCCCCAAATCACAATGGGAAACCTAGATTCTAAAATACTGGAGCTGTGACACTTGAAAGTAACCTTAGGTTCTTACAATTTCAAATCACAAAACAAGAATTGTGACCAACCCAAACATTGACTAAAATGACACCAGGCCAACAATAAAAAAAAAAAAAAAAAACCCAACTGACTTGCCATGTGATTTTCCTTTACACTGAAATGGTAGCTGATAAACACACTCCTGTCAGACAGCACATAGTACTTAAACAGAACTGAAAGACTTCTTAGTTAAGAAATCTGTCACCCAAGGGCTGGCTGCCTAGTGGACATGCTCTCCCAGGGCAGTTTATCGACTTTCCCAAGAAATATATGATCATTTCCTCTTGATTTCTGACACTGTGTCGTGTAGCCTGACAGTGGCAAAGTGTGTCACCCAATAGTTGCAGGGAAAGACACACCAAGTCCTGATGCTGCCATTGGCATCGTGGGATTTAATCACTGTCTCCAAGGCTGACCATGTAAATAATTCAAATCAATTCATCAGTGCACAATAGATTTCATAAGCATAACAGACACTTGGAAGGGAATCCTCAGGACCTCTTGGATCTGTCCTTGCCCTCGGCCCCCATTATCTCTGATTTCCCTGAGAACAGAACTGGTGGTAGCATGTTGTTTTCTTCTATTCAAAATATGCAAAGTTGCTATTTACCAGTTTGCAATTTGCATGTCGCAAATCCTGCCAGAACACAGGGTGAGGGGCAGGGCGGAGTGACAGTGAATTTGCCCAAAGAGGACGCCAGAGCAAGAAAGAAAGCTCCATGAATACATCTTCACCCCAGGGTGTTGCCAAACATAACCGTCACTGATTGCTCAAGATTTGTTTGTGAAACAATGAAACTATTGGGTGTAAAAGGTTATGTGGAATTGCTGGGTGGAGGAAGGAGATGAGCGAGGATTCTGAGTTTTTCATATAGAGGAGTGCAAGAGAGAAAAGGGTACAATTGTGACTATTTACAACCCGGGCTTGGAGAGTAATTTACAGGCTGGGTTTTAGCTTTCCTGGCCCTCTGTCTTGTTACTTTCTACAACACCATAAATCTAACCTTGCCGATTGGGATACGTCATTCTGTATTTCTGTTGTGTTCTGCAATAATAATTTAGTGGCCACGTGTGAGATCACATGGGTGACCAGATGTATGCCATCTCTGAATGTTGGCCTCTACTTCTCCATCTCTTGAAAATATGCTCCATGTCTCATGGTTTCAGGTTGTAAATAACACACACCCCAAGCACACCATTTCTGTATAAATTATCCTTGCAATAGGATTCCTTCCCAAACAAGGTGTAAGCACATGCTGGACCGTGTGTAGGGCAGTATTTCCAGAGGTGTGGACAAGCTTGGGAACATTCTTCTGTTTTGCATTTTGATTGCACTTGACCAAGGACTCATTTAAAATTCCCGGTTCACAAAGAATCATTCTGTGTCCAGTGAGTGCGTCTGCAGAAACTTTAGATGGCCATGGATAAGAACTCAGTGCCACAGCTGAAGGGAATGGGGGGAGAGAATCCGGCAAAGGAGGAAATGTGAGAGGGAGCCGCTCTTCTGAGGGAGCGAGGAGAGGACGCCCAGCAAGCCAGAGCTCTCAGCCAGGAATGAGCAAGGGCTAACCAGCTTGGCCAGGAAGTAAGGCGTGCTGGTCAATCATGGAGTTCATGGTTACTTTCCACTTCCACGTGCTTTTCCTGAGACTTCCTCAAGTGTAAAACTCCATGTCTCTGCTGCTCCCCTTCCTCCAGAAGTCTTCCTTTTCCACGTTATAGGCAGGTCCCCTGGAAACCCCTTTGGGGCTTCTCCCCATTATCTAAGTACAAATGCCAAACTCGTGTTCACATCTGACCAGATGCTGCAGGATCTGGCCTCTTCAGGTTCACCCCCTCTGCTGCCACGGGAGCCCTTCAAGAGCTCTGGATGCTCCGTGTTCTTTCTGCCCTGCAGAATACGACTCTAATGCAGGTTGAACTTGATGGCCTTCCCTGTCAGTCATGCTCTGCTCTCTTCCATACTTGACCTTGTTCTTGCTGAAACGTCACATGACCCCACTGGTGAGTGGTCTTCCTACAGTTCCCTATCTGGAAACCATACTTAATAATCTCCATGCTTTGATGCCCATTTTCCCCAACCTTCCAGCAAGCCTTCTCACATCTCTTCAGTGTAATTTACTTCTCTATCCTCTTTTCTTTCAGCGCTGTCTCATGACACATCAGTTCCCTACTTTGCATTGTAATTATTTATGCACATGTTTTATTCCCCCTCTAGACTATCAACTCCTTGAAGAATGCATTGGCTCATTACAAAATTAGCATTCTGAGAACCCTTATTTGCATCACACATAAGATCTCTTGTCTTCAGTGAAAAGAAGTATCCTTATGACATATATAATTGGCACTTATCACACAAATCAATGATAATGGGGAACAAGGGCAAGATGCTTAATTAAAACCCACAGTTGATTCCTCCAGAATTCCTCTTTGCCTCTCCTACCATTTTACTGGTGGAAGAAGAGATCGGCTTGTATTAAATTTCCATTCCCTATTTTTTTACTTTATGGACGTGACTGCCTTGACCGTCGTGCAATTAGTGGGAAGAAGACTAGAGGTGATAACTCAGCATCTGACATCATCAGGCATCCGTCATTGGAAGGCTTTGGGGGTGTCTCTCAAGGAAGTGGCCAAGTCTCTGAACTTTTCCACCCCGTGACTATAAGTATGGGGCCAGCATTGTGGCACAGCAGGTGAAGCTGACACTTGTGATGCTGGCATCTGACATTGGAGTGCTGGTTCAAGTCCTTCCTGGTCCACTTCAGAGTCAGCTCCCTGCTAAGGCACCCAGGGAAGTCCGCAGGGGATGGCACATGGGAAATCCAGATGAAGATCCAGGTTCCTGGCTTCAGGTTGGCCCAGCCCTTGCTAGTGGGCCCATTTGGGGTCGTGAACCAGCAGATGGAAGATCTCCATCTCTCCCTGTCTCTCTCTGTTACTGCCTGTCAGGTAAGTTTAAAAGAAAAAGACTCATGGTGTGCCTTTGGGAATCTAGACATGGAGCTAGCTCTGCTATTCAAAATAATAGGTGGATCCACAGTAAAAAATAAATCAAACAATTGAGTTCCCTGCATATATGCTTTATAAGGTGAGTCGAATATTCAATGGCAAACATTAATTCAACAAGAAATGATAATAAAATAAATATGACGACTATCCCTGCTTGCCAAAACAACATATGCACTGGGGATGATTCCTTGCATCCAGGACTACTGTACACAAATATTGTGTGAAACCTCTTCTCCTAATAGC